ACTACGAAAACAATCCCATTTACCACTGCAGCAAAAAAAGTAAGATACCTAGGAATAAACTTAACCAAAGAAATAAAGGACCTATTCGCAGAAAACTACAGGTCATTGAAAAAAGAAATAGAGGAAGATATAAAAAAGTGGAAGCACATACCCTGTTCATGGATTGGGAGAATTAATATCATTAAAATGCCCATATTACCCAAAGCAATCTATAAATTCAATGCAATCCCCATCAAAATACCAACGGCATACTTCACAGAATTAGAACAAGTACATCAAAAGTTCATATGGAACCAAAAAAGACCTCGAATAGCCACAGCAATCTTGAAAAGGAAGAACAAAGTTGGAGGGATCACATTACCAGATTTCAGGTTATACTACAAAGCCACCGTAATCAAAACAGCCTGATACTGGCACAAGAACAGGCATATAGACCAGTGGAACAGAACAGATATCCCAGAAATGGACCCAAGGCAATATGCTCAATTAATATTTGACAAAGGTGGCAAGAGCAGACAGTGGAGTAAGGACAGCCTCTTTAATAAATGGTGCCGGGAAATTGGACAGCTACATGCAGAAAAATAAGACTAGACCATCAATTTACACTTTACACAAGAATAAACTCAAAATGGATATAAGACTTAAATGTGACTCATGAATCCATAAAAATCCTAGAAGAAACTGTAGGCAACAAAATTTCAGACATCATACACAGCAGAATTTTCACTGATACATCACCTAGGGCAATAGAAACAAAGGAGAAAATGAACACATGGGACTACATCAAACTCAAAAGCTTCTACACAGTGAAAGATACAATCATCAAAACGGAAAGGCTACCCACTGTATGGGAGAGCATCATTGCCAATGATACATCAGATAAGGGGTTAATTTCCAATATATATAGAGTGCTCATACAACTCCACAAAAGGAAGACAAAGAACCCAATTAAAAATGGGCAGAGGAACTAAATAGACACCTCTCCAAACAGGACATACAAATGGCTAAGAGACGTATGAAGAAATGCTCATCATCACTAATCATCAGAGAGATGCAAATTAAAACAGCAATGTGGTATCACCTCACACCTGTCAGAATGGCCGCCATCAATAAATCATCAAACAACAAGTGTTGGCAAGGGTGTGGAGAAAAGGGGACTCTAGTACACTGCTGGTGGGAATGCAGACTGGTGCAGCCACTATGGAAAACAATATGGTGTTACCTAAAAAAATTAAAAATTGAACTACCATTTGATCAAGTGATCCCACTTCTAGGAATATACCCTAAGAAGCCTGAAACACCAATCAGAAAGAATATATGTACCCCCATGTTCATAGCAGCACTATTTACAATAGCTAAGATCTGGAAACAGCCCAAGTGTCCATCAGTAGACAAATGGATAAAAAAGCAATGGTACATATACACAATGGAGTACTACACAGCTATAAGAAAGAAAGACCTCTTATCCTTGGAGACTACATGGAGGGACCTGGAAAGTATCATCCTAAGTGAAACAAGCCAAACAGAGAAAGACAAGTATCATATGATCTCACTTATTTGTGAAATATAATGAACATAACAGTCTGAGGAATGGGTTAGTCCCAGAGACCTGGAAGTGGGGTACAGACTGACAATCCCCAAAAGAGGGGGTGGTGGGGGATAGATAAACCACAGAACTTATATGCATGTATGCATGAACAGTGGACATGGACAACAAACTGGGGACAGGGCAGGGAGGGAGGGGGAGGGGGGAATCAGTGGGGGGAAAAGGAGAAACATCTGTAACAAAAATTAATTAATAAAAAATAAAAAATAAAAAACTTTACAAGTTTATTTGAGTAAAACTCTATTCGAACTGGGCAGTGCCAAACCAGAGGAGCGCTCTGCCGACAAGAGCCAGGGGAAAGACTCATTCAGAGAAGGTACAGAAGCTAAGAAAGGAAAGTATTTGATTGGCTACAGCGTAAAGCCCACCTGGCTGTTGGGGACTGGCTGGCCTTAGCGTTTCAATTTCATGACTTGAAGCCTTTCCAAGCTTCGATTTTAGCCTGCTTACATAGGCTGCCATGGCTTTAGCCTCGCCTCAGCCTGGCGATTTCCTTGTTTAATCAATTTAACAAATCCCAGCTCCTTAACTAGGGCTGTATGACCCTCGGTGTGTCATGGGACCTTACCACGCTTCACACTTCTTCATCTGTTCAACCAGGTGGTCAATAACCTTTGGCTGTGAGGGTTAGCATGAGAAATCAAGGAGAAGGCATGAGTGAAGTCCTCACCTCAGTGCCTGGCAGTCTCTGAGTGCTGACGTGTGCGTTGTTGTTGGCCTTGTAGTTCGTTCTGGCATCAGGTTGCCTGGATTGGAAACACCTGGCTCTGCTGCTGCTGAGCTGTGTGACTTCAGGTAAGTTACTTAACCTCTCTAGATCCCGGTTTCCCGCTTAGGGTTTTCTTATCTACATTGCTGGAATTCACTGATGGGGCCTTTTTCATGTTATTTTATCTTCAGAACTTCTGTAGAATTGTCATGAGATTTAAATCAAACATATGTATTCACATCATCATATGCATATTTCTTAGATTATTGTCGGGCCCATGGAAAGCACCATATAAATGCTGGCTATTGTTTTATTTTATCAAGTTACTTATTCAAGAAATGCTATTTCACATGTAGTAAGTGCCAGGCAGTGAGGAAATCAAACTAGCCTCACCCTCACGGCACTTACATCTGAGTGAAGGAAAAGATAATAAACAAAAAAGATGCTGGGCAAGCAGGAAAGGGGTATAAAATGTGCTGAAGGCAGGAATGGGGGTCTTATGCTTAAACAGGATACCTTTTCAGTAAGTCCTGAAGGAGGTGCAGTTGTCTGGAGAAGGCACACCCCAATGCAATCCTAAGAGACAGAAGTGCTATGTCCTGCCATCATCCAACTGGCTCGAGATGGATGTCCATCCAAGGTCACCTTGGAAAGCTTGAGTCCTCTGCAAGGCCTCATAATAGCCTATTAATCCCATTAGAGTGTCCCGGTGGACGGTTTTTTGTTTTTTGGTGTTTGTTTTTTGGTACGTGCCCCTAGCGGGAACCGAACCCAGGACTCTCTGGTCCACAGGCCGATGCTCCAACCGCTGAGCCAAACTGGCCAGGGCAGAATGACTCTGACTTTTAAATGATTATACACAGTAGATAGTATAGGGTTCAGTACAGACCACTAAGTACTGAAGAAATTTAGTGAACTTCCGCCATCATTCACGGCAGGAGTAGCCTTGGAACCAGACCCGGCGCCTGGCTTGACACTCTTCCCACGACACCATGCCACCTCCCCCTGCTGCGGTTCCAGTGGGCAGGATGGGTGTTGCAGGGGGGCTTCACCTCACTCAATGCTCACCACAACATTTGCAGACTGGTGTGTCTCCACTTTACAGAGGAGGACATGGAAATGTAGAGACATAGTAGTTTGTTCAAAGTCAATTGAATTGGAACCAAGTCGGTCTGACTTCAGGGACCCTGCTCTGTCCACTAAAGCATGTTCTGTGAAATCTCTTTCTTGGGTAAAAATAAGAAAGGATGCTCCAGCCAGTTGGTCACAGAAGACACCCTGCCCCGGGATAGCAAGTATGAAGTGCTCTTTCAGCCCCTGGCACATGGCAGATGCTCAGGAAGTATCGCCGTTACTGTCAATAACCATCTGAGGAGGATACATCTAGAAGTTGGTGCGCATTTTGGCCTCTCTCCACTGTCGCTAGGGCCCCAGCCCTTCTACTCAGGATACCCCATGCCTGGGGCTGTCCTTGTTCCGCTGTGTTGCTATGACAACCATCCCTCTGTCAGAAACACTCTTCCCTGGTTCAACATGTGTACCCACAGAAGACTTCGGGTCAGAGAAGATGTATCTAGGTTGGCAGCAGTAAGAAAGGACAGAGAGAAGCAAAGACAGAGGAAGTGAGACAGAAAAGAAACAGACACAGAGAAGAGGGGGTCAGAAGCAGAGGGATGTCAAGGAGTCGGTAGTCAGAAGCCCTTCGTTCATCTTCTTGATCATTATGTGGAAGACAGGGGCCTGGATGGAGCTGGATGGAGACTTCAGAGACCCGGTGTGAACTCTTCTCTGCGCTAACGCACTTTGGGACTCTGAGTAAATCCTTATCCCTCTCTAGGCCTCGGTTTCCCCATATATGCATGTTCATTCTTTTTTTAATCCTCACCTGAGGATTTTTTCCATTTATCTTCAGATAGAGTGGGAGGGAAGGGAAGAGAGGGAGAGATGGAGAGAGAGACAAACATCGATGTGAAAAAGACACATCAACTGGTTTTCTCCTACACAACCTCCACTGGGGCTGGGGATCGAACTGCAACAGAGGTATGTGCCCTTGACAGGAATTGAACCCATGACTCTGGTCCCCGTGCCGACACTCTAACCACGGAGCCAAACCAGCCAGGGCTCTGCATGTTCTTTAAGGCCTCGTTCATTTCTAATAGTCAACTTTTATGATTACTTAACTGACCCTCCTCAGAAGACAGAAGAATCAGAAGACACTTTCACTAATTGGTTAAAAAAAAACACAGAGTTTATTCGGAAAAATCAGTCAGTGCAATATGCACTACAGGGAATCGCTCAGCTCACATCACAGACACGGGACAAACAAGCTCACAATAAATTAGGGGGAAACAACCCTTTTCCTCCAGGATGGCCCACAAGACCTTTCAAAGGACCTATTTCATTATAAATATGACGATAGACTATCAAGTTATTTCCAGGTGGGCTCCGTCAGCCTGGGTCCAGCCAGGGGAACTTCCAGCCACGGTGTGAGATCTGTCCAAACCTAGATTTTGCCCTACAGTCTCTCAACCCCAGAGGAGAGAATTCCCAATCAGCAGAGAGGTTTCTTCAAAATGATGATCATTTGCATCAAAATGGGGTTTCACCATCTTCCTACCCTTGAAAGTAGGCTGTCTCCTGGAAACCTCACAGGGCTGTTCACCTGGGCAATCTGATGCTTTGTCCTCAGGCAGTGGGCGTTCCTTGATGATGCTTGTCAATCCAGGCCAGGAAAATGTCCAGCTCTCCCAGAGACTTGAGGGCAGCAGACCTGACCTCCAGCTGAAACCAGGGAAATCATGAGAACCTGCTTTCCAGACCGGGAATCATTTCCAAACCACTGGTCCCCACAAAGTTTTCTTTTCATTCATCAGTTATATTTGCAGAGCATACAGTCCCCAAATTATTTTTCCCAGCAGACAACCCAAGTTGTTTTCCACAAACAAGCAGAGAAAACATGTCAGAAACTTATAAACAAAATTAAAAATTCTTCATTCTCTGCCCTCTGTTTTTCTTTTTCCTGTTTTTCACAGAAAAAAAAAAAAAGAAATACACTTGCCTTTCTGGACAGTTCTTTTGCTTATTTTTCTTTTTACACTAGCCATACAAGGTCTCCGTCCCAGGGTGTTGTGCAGTGGGTGGGGAGAGCTTGTTGTCCCCATTGGACACATTAAAGCACCCAAGTCCCTAAGGATCAGTGTCCTACCCAATGTCACGCAACCAGTTGGTAGCAGAACTGGAACTAGAACCCAAGTCTTTTGACTTACTCCTCCTGCTCTTCAGCAGACTAATAGTATGTCCTGTGGAGCCAGACAGCATGGGATCGAGTCCTGCCTTCACCACTTTGCAGTGTGAACTTAGTTAGGTTACTTAACCTGTTTGTACCTCAGTTTCCTAATTTTTCGAATGCAGATAATGGCTCATAGCAGTCTTGTGAGGACTAAATGTGTCTATACCTGTAGTGTGCTCAGAACAATATCTGGCTCATAGGAAGAACAATATGACTCTTAGCTGTTGTTAATAACTTTATCCTAGGTAAGCTCTCCACAAAGAAGCAGAGCTCTGAACAGCTCTCCCTACCTCCTTGCTATTCAAATAACTAGCATCTTTTTTTAAATTGATTTTTCTAGAGAGAGAGAAAGGGAGAGATAGAAACATCAATGTGAGAGAGAAACATGGATCAGCTGACTCCTGAACACCCCCTACTAGGGATCAAGCCCACAACCCAGGCATATGCCTTGACTGGGAATCGAACCAGGACCTCTCAGTCCATGGGACGATGCTCAATTCACTGAGTCACACCAGCCAGGCTAACTGGCATCTTTTGAAAGTGTAGTTGAAATGCAGAATCTCAGGCCTCATTACAGACCTATGGAGCCAGAATCCGCATTTTAACAAAATCTCCAATTGATGCACCTAAGAAACATCACTTCTACCTCCACCTGTGCATGAAACATGCATCTACAGGTGCATGAGAAGCATGCTCTTCTGTACCGCACAGAATGCTCATGAGAGTTACTGGCCGCAATGACACTGGGCAGGTAACATGTTTCAAGCATAACAGCTTCCAATTCACTGGGGATCTTGCTTCCTCTGTATCACCCCTATCTTAAACAGTATATGCTTTCCCTCAAAACTTAACCCAGGTCAGAGCTGATATGTAAGGGCATAAGAAACTGGTGAAAAGATGTGGGGTAACTAAGTCCAGAAAATTAGCAAGTGAGACAAGACCAAAACACTCTTTCCAGACACACACAGTTGGGAAGGCCTGCAACTAATACTTGCTGAGTAAATGAATGAGTTTGAGCGGAGTGGAGGCAGAGGGCTGGTGCGCTCCCAGTCAGGTTCCTTCCCTGTCCTTACCTGATCGTAGTTGTTGTGGATGATGCTGGTTGCATTGGTGGCTTCCTGTCCACAGTGACACAGCCTCTGCTTCTGCTGTGATAAAGTGGAGGCAGCAACCATCAGAGGACCTTTCCATCCTGACCCTCCCTTTCCACCACCTCCCCTCATGGAGTGACATTTCTCCTTCCTCCCAAGGCGAGAGTCAAGTGAGTAAACTCAGTTTGGAGCAGCCGTGGGGAGTAAGGTCTGTTTGTAGAGTCACCCTGTGTTTGACCAGAGCCTTTGCTTTTTCTGGGTTGACCAGCCAGACGGGAAGAGCCAGGAGAAGAGGTGCCAAGTCCATCTTCTCCCCACTCTGAGTGCAGTGCCCCACAAGGCAGGCACTCCAGAAATATTTGTTGGTTGGTTAATTGAATAATTGACTCAATGAATCTTAATGTAAGTGGGACAAGGGCCATGACTTCTAACAGTTTTAGAATCTGGCACGAAGAGGTGAAGTCACTGGCCACAAAGTCACACAAGGAATCATTGGCAGGGGTCGGGCTAGAGCTCAGGATCTCTCCTGGCCTAAGTTGTTGTTGGTTTGTTTGAGTTTGGTTTTATTTCCGATGTGGGGTTTGAATAGCTAACAATGACTTCTCAGGTGATCCTTATGGGTAGGCTATACCAGGGAACCACCCAGAGTTTAATTGGTAAGGAAACCCAAAGGGCCAGAAACAAAGACACTAGGGGTGTGCCTATGATAAGCCTGCAATCCTTGGCATGCCCTTCTCTCGGGACAGTCCTGGGGTCACCTAAGGGATACTTTGACATAAGTGGTCACCCACGAGGCTTATCCTTAAGGAAACCTGGGTCTGGTAAGGTGCTGGCAGGGAGGAAACCCTGGGCAAGGAGTGAGCCCTGGAAGAGATTCTTGACAGTTCTCCCCATGGATGACGGGGGAAGGAATTTCCTGTGACTACAGGGACCATTTCAGAAGGTGCCTGGGGCCAGCACGTTCTGGCTTTCCCGGGAGCAGACAGGGAACTGGAGTTCTAATGTGGACTCACACATTGCTGCAGAACCTTCTGCATGTAGAAGAAAGAGTTGGCAATGCTGCTGATTTTTCTTAAGATCTGGGGGTTCGGCTCCTGATGGTCCTTAAACACCTTGTCCAAGTAAAACTCCACGAGGTTCTTGGTCATGCAGCACACATCTAAGGGCTTCAGGGAGGGATCTTCAGATGTGAATTAGAGAAAAACCAAGGCCCTCTTCTCTTTATTATTTTAGAGAACAAAGCAGCTTATTTGAAGAGGAGCAGCAAAAAATGAGATCGCTAAAATTTCTTTTTAAAATTCACATTGATTTCAGTGTGTCCATCCCTTGGGACACCAAAGTTCTTATAGCAAAGGCACTGAGGAGAGACTGTGGTTCACCCGCTCTTTCTATAGGGCTAGGAGATAGATTACCAAGGGATGGAGCCCAGTTAGACTAAAATTCTCTCTACAGCACTCCTAACAGGTCATCACTAACTTCTCTTTAAACCCTTCCAGAAACAAGGCATCTCCCTTTTGAAAGGATCCATGTCTGAACAGCTCTCTCAAAAAGTACTTCCTTACATTGCTGAAGGCTGCCTCTCTGTAATGTCCCCTGTCTGTCAAAGACGATTTATTCAATGGCTGTTGCTTGCCAGGCATATGCTCGGCACATATTTTTTCTATTGCAATGACATTCATTCCATTGCAATGCTTGACTCTCCTCCAGTCTGTCCTTTTTCTTGCAGGGATCATTTGGATGGAGCTGAGATTTGCAAGAATAGAAACTGACCACTGGGGAAATGCCTGCAGCTGAGCAAGTCTGCAGCTGGCAAAGGGCAGATCTCTCTAAGGGGAGAGCTCCTGAATTCCTGGGGCACAGCTCAGAGCAGCTGGACAGGCTGAGTTTCCTTCTAGCAGTTTGCACCTGCCCTGGGATTAGTAAATTACTCTGCAAGAAACTTCTTGCTCAGCCTGAGCAGGGAGGGATCTGCAGCAGGCATAGGGCCTTCATCTTTATTAGCATTGAAACCGAAAAGCCTCCTTGGTCCCAGGGGTCACTTTTCCCAGATGGCAAGCTCTACTTGCCACACACACACACACACACACACACACACACACACACACACACAGTGCCTCTCTTCCATCACCCCTGCCAGTTCCCTTAACCAAAGGGGCAAAAGTGGCACATCTTTGCTGTATCAGGATGGAAAGGAGGGAGGCAGAAATATAATAAAGACCTGCATCCCCATTGACCCTTTTCCTTATGCCCCATCAGCTATTTCTAGACCTCGAGAGAAGAATCTGGAGACAGAGGCATGAGACACGGGATTCTACTCCTGTCTCAACCACTAACTAGTCATTCTCCCTCCCAAGGTATTAATTTGGTCATTTGAAAATTATGGTTTGGGAATGAATAGCTAATCTTTAGGGTCACTTCCAGCTGTGGTATCCTATAAGTTTCTTAAACTATTATTGGCTGGAATAGTATTTAGTAAAAGGCTACATATCTATTGCCCACAGATAAATCAGGCCCAATAACGACTAGAAGAATTATCTCATGCAGAGAAGCCCGAGGAAAAAGTAAATCATTGCAGATATAACGTATACTCTGTCACAAAGATACTGAAGAAACAAAGAGATCTTTCTAGAATTCTTACAAGGACTGCGGGAGCTCACTTTTAAGGGCACTTCTCAGTGACCCCTTCTGTGAAGTGAATGATCACCTCAAAAGCCAACTGTTTTGTAACACACTCTCATCACCTGCCATCTGGACAACTGGAACAATGCCACTGGCTTTCCTGATCCGAGCCGTCCATTGTAAAGAACATCAGCAGACTGCCTTTCTAAAAGTTTTGTGCTCATACAGCCTTTGGCTCAAACACCCACAGGGACTCCCTATTGTCTCTATTATACGCTCAAGGCTCAGCCTGACATGCAAGGTTCTTGGTGAAATGACTGCAGTGTATTCTTCCACCTCATCCTCTTCCTCTCACCTTCATGCCCCTTGCACTACAAGCCTGGTTGCCTACTGTCCCCTGACATACCTTCATTGATTGTATACACCCACTCTCCCATGCTGCCCAACCCTCTTCATTTCTTTTATCCACCAGCCCACAGCCTACTGAGCTTTTAAGTCACTGCTCATTTTCTCAGCTTCCCCATAAAACCTTCCAGAATCACCCTAAGCCGTAGACACCTGCCCTGTTTGAGTATACAGTACCTCAATCACTCTCTAGGTGAGTGGTACTTCTTTCATTTCTCCAGGGGCTTCTTTTTTAAAATTAAATATATTGGGGTAACAATGGTTAATGACAGTCTATAAATTTCAAGTGTCCAACTGTATAATATGACATCTGTATTCTCATTTCATCACCATATATTTGACCCCCTTTACCCTCTTGGTCCTCCACCCACCCCCCTTCCCCTCTGGTAAGCAGTATTCTGTTATCTATAGCTATGGGAATATAAAACAAAAAGCAAAAACAAAACAACCGCATAGATTCAAACAGAATAAGTAGTTCCCAGGGGTTTCAAAGTCCCAGAGATACAAGAATGCCCTAACACATCAGTTGATTGATGAGAAACTGGGAGCATTTAGGGAACACTGGAGATTAGGAAAGAGAAGAGGGCAGGGTGAGGATTTTTTCTCAGTCCAGGGCCACTTCGCCATAAAAACAACAATACAGGAAAGAGCAGACACAGGCCAGTACCTTGATGCTGTGCAGGGTCTCCGAGGTGGACAGGATGGTGACATTTTGGAAGGTGTCTTGAGCTTGCTGTGGAGGAAAACATAAGAACAAACACAAGTGAGTATCCCATGTCTCCCTGAGACACAAAAAAACAATGAGAAGGTGCTTGTTCTTCATGTTGGGAGGTAAGGAGAGGCAAACCCCCTTGCCCACGTCTTCACCCAGAACCTATACTCACAATGGCTCTTTTGATTTCTTGGAAACTCTCTTCTATATGGCGCATGTCCGTGGAAATCAGACATCTCCTGAGACCTCGGGAGTACGCTGAGCACAGGAAGAGCACTGTGCCCAGGAGCCAGAGGGAAACACGCTGTGCCTTCATGTCCTGCAGGAAGGATGGAAGTCAGCTGCCAGGCCAGGAGTGGAGAGGAGGGAAAGGGACCGCGGTCGAGTTCCCCTTGGACCTCACGGGGCAGGCGAGCCAGCAACCCAGAGAACAGACCAGTGCCTCCGCCTGTGGAGTTCAGGGGCACGTGTCTCCTCCTCCTAAGTCCCAGGGAGTGTACTCATGTGTATATCGCTCTATTATGACTCAACACAGCTCACTTTGTCAAGAGTGATGAAAAGCATTGTTTTTAATCAATTGAATGGAGCAAGCAAGATTATAATATGCCCTAGGAATTAGGCAACTAACTGATCTGAGAAAACATAAAAGCACATTTGGCTTTTGGGGGAGGGGGGCATTTGGCTTTTTTATATTCGCCCCTGAAATAGGTGACACCCTTTTATTATGAACCCCCACTGTGTATCTGCTTAAAATAATTTGTTTGAAGCCAACTACGAAGATATCACCTCCTGAAGAAGATGGAAAAGGAAGAGCAAGCCATCAACTAATAACTAATTAGCCACAGTGAAGAGAGAGGGGAAGTCTGCCCCTGCAGAGGGCAAGTTGGCTGCCTCCCCTCTGGCTCCTACTGAGCTGGGGATGTGAGGGACATGCCTGCAGCTAGCCAGTCCCCGGGCAGGGCCAGACCTAGAGACGCTTGCTGTCTCTTTTCATTCTCTCACCCTTCCTGCACCATCTTTCTCTTTCTTTTTCATTTAACCACTTCCAGCTGTGTGTGTGCTAGTGTGTGTAGTGTGTGTGACAGTGGAGGACAGGGAGGCACCCAAACAGGAAGCCAATGAGGGGCTGCAGAGCACCCCCACCTCCTACCTTTCGCTATAGTGGCTCTAACTACAAAGCACATCCGTTGGCTCCAGACTGTGGACCCCACCTGCCCCTGTAACTGACCACCACTCCCCAGGTCCCCCTTGGGATTCCCAGGCTCTTCCCCAGAAAGCCAAGAAACAGCACATGCTGTATAGAAAGCCATTTTGCCTTAACTCTCCTGAACTCAGCATCATTCCCAGTGAGAGCACAGGTACATACCGAGACCTCGCCAAGTAGTGGGCAGTTAGTATAGCCCAAAGATTGATTTCTTTCTCCAACCTCTCTCTTTCCAAGGAAACAAGAATGTAGACCCCACAGGCAGGGAAGTCTGTGGATCCCCTCAGACCTCTCTCCCCTTGAAAGGCAACTGGAAGCACAGTTTTCCTTCTGACAAGGTAACTGTCAGAAGCCGTGGGACACCCCCTGCTTGTCCCACGCTGCCAGGAGGCCCAGATATCTTGTGGAGGAGGAGGATGCCTTCCTTAGCTTGTCAGTTCCAGACATCTTGGCAGATTCAGATAACAGTAGTGGCTAACATTTATCATACATGCCAAATGTGTTCAGCACTGTGCCAAGCATTTTTACATAATTATTTAATGTTCACAACCACCTATTTCCATTTCCATTTCCATTCTCTAAGTAACTGAGACTTAGAGAAGTCAAGGAGATTGCCCAAGGTTTGTGGCCCCCAAGGGGCAGAGCCAGGGTTAGAAGGTGGGCAGGCTGGTCCTTGAGCCCTCTGTCCTCACTGCACCATCCCCTGACAGCTCTGTTCCCTCGGGGATCTCAACAGAGATCCCTGCAGATGCCTTCATACTGGCAGAAAGAAATGCACTTCTGATTGGGCAGACAGAACGACAGGTGCTCCTTACATTTAAAAAGATATTTAATACTGCAAAGGATTTAAAAGAAGATAGATTTTAAAGTGCCCAGTACAGTTCCTAGAACAAAAAGGTTGTAATAAATGTTAGATTTTCTCCCCTTCCTCCCTCCCTACCTTCCTACTTTTCTTCCTTCCTACTTTTCTTCCTTCCTTCCTTCCATCTTTTCTAATTGAGAATAAGGTACCAGAAAGTTCACCTCTATATTGAGCACCCCTCTCCGTTCTACAGAACACCCAGTGCCTGTGACTTCCTAGGCCGCACACAGCAATGACAGGCCGCCTCTCCGCATCTGTGAAGGATGAAGATGAATGAAAGCCTCTGCTGGAGGCTGGCAGGAGACTCACCTGTCCCTGGGTGCTCGGGCTGCTCCTGTCTTCTCTCTTGGTGTGCTTTGCCACGTGGAAAGGGCTGGTCACTTTTATGCAGGTGGATAAGAGGAAATGCTGTCAAGGGATACTGGGTGGGTCCACCCTTGGGAGATTTTCTTTTCCCCCCTTTTTTCTTAGCATCTCATTTCCTTAATTGTTTTCTTTTCTTTCAACATTGAAATACAGTTGAATAATCATTATGAAGAAATCCTTCTTTCTCTGGGTCTAGACATGCAGATTCTAGGAAAAATTAACTTCCTATCTACATGCAAATGAGAATTTCTTGCAATTCTGTGTCCATACAGAAAAATCCAAGTTAAGTCACTTTCCTGAAAGGTGAGGCATGCCACCAGCTGTACCTGGCAGTCAAGCTCAGGAAAGCTCTCTCCTGACAGCCACACCCTGCAACAGCCAGGCCCGTGCGCATCTGCAGGTGCCAGTGACTCTAGGACACTCCACCTGCCCAGTGGCTCCTATAGCAACAAGCACCTACCAGGTGCCAGGCACTAGCTAAATGCTTTACATGCAGTATTTTGTTTAACTTAATGGAGAATGCATCCCCTCCCCCAGGAATGCAAAGATTTCTTGGGACATTATCTCATTCCTTTTCATCTTGTCACTAGAGGGTCATTTCATTCTCAATGAATGCAGAGAGAGAATGAGACCGGGGAGTAGGAGTCCTGGAGCGCAGAGCCAGGAACAGAGCCTGGAATCCGTGCTCTTGGGCCAGAAAACCCTGTACCTAACTTACCACACACACACACACAGGTTGTCCCCAAAAAATGTATACAGGGTGTCTGCGTTTTTAGAATAAAATGTATTTTAATAAACACTGGCTTTTATAATTATTCAAAATTGTGTATACATTTTTGGGGCACCGTGTGTGTGTGTGTGTGTGTGTGTGTGTGTGTGTGTGTGTGTGTTTACTGGTTTTAGAGAGAAAGGGAGAGAGAAACATTGATTGGTTGCCTCTCATACACATCCTGACCAGGGATCGAACCCACAACCTGGGTATGTGCCCTGATTGGGAATCAAACCGGCCACCTTGTGGTACATGGGACAACGCTCAATCAACTGAGCCACACTAGCCAGGGCTCTAAATTACCTACTGAATATTCACCAGGTCGGCCTAAGTCGGGAACGTGGCCACACGGTCCTCGTGGGCGGTCCGGCGGCGAGTGCAGCACCTCTTGGCCTCGAGTGCCGGGTCCGATGGCAGGGGATGTCTGCATCCTTTCAGCACGACCACCCAGAGGGCTGCAGGTGAGGACTGCAGCGCTGAGGTCCTCCTGATGATCTTGGACCCTCTCTTGCAGAAAGAGCCTTCAAGCTAAAAGCTGTTGAACTGGAGAAGGAAGTGCAGGATTTAACTGAGATACCAGAGAGCTCTCGCTGGTGGTGAAAACATCAGAAGGCAAACCCAGAGACGCGTAGAAGATGCCAAGAAAGTTGAAGGAAAGTGCTTGAGGGGTCCTTGGATTCTATCTAGTCCAGTCTTCTTTTACAGGAATTCAGAGTTTCTGTAAGGACTTGGTGGAGGTGGCAGACGTTTTGGAGAAGACTACAGAATGCATTTCTGAAGAAGCAGAGCCTGGGGACCAGAAGCTCACTCTAGAGAAGATCTTCCGAGGGTTGTCCCTTTGAGAAGTAAAGCTGAAAAGTGTGTTTGCCAAGTGTGGCCTGGAGAAGATGACCCCAATTGGTGACAAATCCGACCCACGTGAGCATGAACTCATCTGTCATGTGCCAGCTGATATTGGAGTGCAGCCTGGCATGGTGGCTACGAGCTTCATGGCCACACCATCAGACGTACCCAGTGGAAGTGGCAGTGGGCTCTCAGAGAAGACTATGAATGGGCCATGAGGGACTGAATGTCCTTCAGAGTGCAGTCACCTGTGTTTCCTTTACTTATTAAACTAGGTTTGTATTGTTATATATATATATATATATATATATATATATATATATATGTGTGTGTGTGTTTTTTCACCATGTAGGTATACGTGTAGATTAAATGATTAAGCCCTTGGCACAGTGCTTAATAAGGGATTAAAAAATGGTACGCTTTGCTATTAATTCTACAGCTTCTAAATTGGGAGGAAGAAAGGACCATAAGAAACAATTTCTCTCCACCCCAAGCCTTGCTGCCTGACACTTAGCATAAAAAATGTGAGAACAGATTGACATGGAATGGCATGCCCCTTAGGACTGCAGTCCAATTGTGACTTTGACTCCACAGACGTAGGGTTTTGTCTCGCCTTAGAACTGGGTGTTCTGGAACCACTTGGCCCACCCCTGGGATGCCGGAGTTCCACTTTCCATGCTGAATAGGGAAGCAGAAAGAACGTGAAGGAAGACCAGAGAACCGGAATGAAGAATGCTCACGTGCTGGGTGCGGCTCTCACCCACTTCCCAAACACCCCCTCCACTACCCACTCCAGCTTCATGAGCTATTTATGGTGGTGCCAGGGTAATGTTCTCTTTATCAAAGAGTAGAGGTTGCTCACTTATAAGTGCTAAGTCCTAGAGCCCAGACAACAAGTGAGCCAGGTACTGTGTAACCCCAGAGGGCACCATGCCCACTGCCTTCTCTGGGAATGAGGCTCCATGGAGAGGATCTACTGAACAATCTGGATGAAGTGGATTAGGTCTATGTGAATGATTTCAGTTCTATTAGAGGAAGAACCCGTCATTGTAAGAACTACACAACACTAGAAAGTATGATAGAAAAAGGATCTGGGGAAGAAAAAAATATTGCTGCCGGTGGCTACATTTTCACTTGGGAAGTAAATAGGGACTTAAAAACAGGAAGCATACAACTGTTTAAACATCTTGATAAGCATATCTGGATTGAAATGATGGGTTTGCCCTGGCTGGTGTGGCTCAGTTTGTTGAGCATCATTTTATGCACCAGGGC